AGGCGTTCATCGCCCGCAGAGCTCATGGGGAAGCGGAGGCAGCTCACGTGCCCTTGTCTACCCAGACCGGGGCTGCTCGCCTCCGGCACGCTGTGCGTTTGGAATTATCCTGCGCTGGATCGCACCGAATCCTCCCCCGCCGAGACCTCTCCTTCCTCTGCAGGTATCGATGCAGTACAACCCTGGCTGGAACAACTCCTCCGTCAACCTGCTTCACGTGCGGGCGGTGGGGCCCAGCGACACCCTGCACTACGTCTGGAGCAGTATCGGGGCCCCCGCCGCGCTGCTGGTGGCTACGGAGAGCAGGAGCAGCGCCCTGCGCGTCAACTGGACCCAGCTGCTCTCGCCCGCTCCTGCGGGTGCCATCTGGATCGACCCTCCCGGCAGCGTCATCTACTCCGCCGCCGTCATCTTCACCAAGGTACCGCTGAGGAAGTTGACCCTGCTGGCCTCAAGCTGCGCCAGGGGAGGTTTAGATTGGATATTGGGAGACATTTCTTCACAGAAAGGGTAGTCAAGCATTGGAACAGGCTGGCCAGAGAGGGGGGGGGGGCACCATCCCTGGAAGGGTCCCCCTGTACTCGGCACTGGTGAGGCCACACCTGGAATCCTGGCTGGGTTGATGATTGGACTGATGATCTTAGAGCTCCTTTCCAATCTTAATAATTCCTAGTTTTTACTTTGATTATAAATAATCCAGCCACCAAGGCAGGAAACATGAAATTATTCCTCTGCCCTTAATTGGTTTAGTGTGGACTTGGCAGTGTGAGGTTAATGGTTGGACTGGATGATCTTAAAGGGCTTTTCTAACCAAAATGATTCTATGATGCTATGCTCCAGGGGAGCTGCCCCATGGTGGAGGGGGCGTGAGGGGGTTGCTCGGGGCAGAGCAGGTCGGTCAGCAGCTTTCCCAGCAGCAGCGAAATGGCCCCTTCTGTGTGTCCCACCATGGTTGTCTCTGGCTTGAGCTGTGATGGTGCCTTGAGATGTTTGGCTGAGGCAGCTCCTTTTTGGTCTCCTTCCTCTCCCTGGTGGCAGTGGCAGCCAGGGGACCGTAGCAGAAAGCGGTGGTGTCCGCAGCACCCTCTCCCCTTCCTCCTCCCTAGGTGTTTGAGTACAACGAGGCCCAAACGCCGGAAGAGCTCTTCTACCCCACGTACGACCTGTCTGACTTCTCCTGGGACAACATCAATCGCACCCTGAACCACACGGCCCTGACGGCTGAGTTCACGGGCATCCCGGCCACTGATCCCGGTGGCAGCTTCTCCAACGGCAGCCTGGCATTTCGGGTAAGTCCCCAGGGGTAGAGAGCAGGGTATATACTGCGCTGGGACGCTATAGGGAGAACGCAATGAATATCGTGTCCAAAGCACCTTCTAGAGAGGGAACGGTTCCTCCTTGGTGTCCCAACCGGTGATCGTGCTGTCCCTCTGACCCGTGTCCCCTGCAGGTGACAGCCTACGAGGCTGGTGGCCGGCCCAGCCTCCTGCACACGGCAAACAGCTCTAAAGTGGAGTTCGTCCTGGCTGGGGTGGCTCCGCGGGGCAACGGCTCCCGATTTGCGCTGGAGGTGGCCACGGTGGAGGAGACAGGGGTGGCACAGAAGCTGCGCTCAGCACGCTCCATTGACGACGAGTACACTCCCACCATCTTCGAGGTGAGCGTGGGGTGAGTGCTGGGCTTGGGGATGTCCCCTGCTTGTAGGAATGGGTGTGAGGGGGATCTGGGACAACCTGGGCAACCCGTGGCTCCCCGCTACGGCTCACCCTGGCACAAAGACCATCTCCTCTCCTCTCCTCGCTTCACCACCCATTGCTCTCCTTCCACCAGACGCTCTCCCTGGTAGCCGAGTCCCAAAACGACAGCTCTGCGCTCAGCTTCCTGCAGTGGAAGGCGACAGCCTATGGTTCCCAGACCCCCAGGCGTGAGGACGGCATCCAGTGCCGGTCTCATGGCCTGCAAGCGGCCAACTGGACCCTGCCCATGTCCAGCATTGTCCACGCCTACTTTGGGGAGGGTGTAGGCAGCGCCTACACCGTCAGTGCCATCAATATCTCTTTTGGAGGAGAGGATGGGAAGGTTTACCAGGAGAAACGCTACCTTAGCTGGTGAGTGGGATCCGCTGTGTGTGAAATGATGCTCTCCCAGCCGCTAATAACTTGCAGTTTGGGGAACGGCTAGGTTAGAGGGTTTCTCAGTTTAATAACGGTCTCCTTTCAAAAGCCTGTGTGTTCCTATGATCCTGGAGCAAGGAGTTTTGCAGTTTATTGATGCATTGCCTCGCCCCTTCCCCAGTCTGGGAGACCCCTCTCCTGCCCCATGTGGGATCCTGCCAAGAAATCTTGATCTGACCCTATCGGGGTGGAAAGCCCCAGATATTCCACCCGTGGGATGCAGCCGATCCCCATCTCCGTGGCTGATTTGTCTCATCCCCTCCTGCAGGTCGGCGCTGCTGGGCTTTGGGCAGCCCCCCAAGGACACCTTCTCGCCCCTCGTCATCTCCATCATGGCCGTGGCGCTGGGCACCCCCATGGTGATGCTCTTGGTGGGCAGCTGCGTGGTCCTCTTTGCCCAGAGGAAACGCTACTCGGAGTACGAGCCCATCAACTGAGGGGGACAGTCCCTGGAGAGACCCCCAGGATCCTTCTTGTCGCCAGAAAACGACTGCGGCTGCTGCAGGGGCTGCGATGCCTGCAGTCTCCTCTTTGTCCTCCCTTCCGTCCCTGCAGTCCAGGCTCAGAGGGGACGAGGGCAACGTTTGCAGGAGTTGCCCACATCGCATATCCCTCTGTCCCACTCCCTCCTACTGCCCAGATCCCGCATCCGACCACGCTTCTTCCTCTGTTTTTTTCCTGATCCATCTAGGCAAGGGAAGTGACTGGGGGCAGTCGGTCAGGGTTGCCTTGAGCCGCGGAAAGATTCTCCTTCTCCCAAGGGATAAAACCACTGTTGCCATGTCTGCAGCCAAGCAACAGCTGGGACTGGCTGTGCCCTGTCCTGTGCCACTTCAAGAGCATTCCAGGGTTGTTTGGGTGGCTCCAACCCAGGAGCAAGGCTGGAGGACAGGGCCGGGGACCGGTACCGCTCCTGCCAGCGTGCAGGGTGCCTCGCTGCTTCTCGCTGGGCTGGGGGCATCCCGGAACAGCCCCCCTCAACCCAGCTTGGGGCTCGCGGACTCCTCAATCCCCAACAGGCACCTTCTGCTGGTCCAAGAGGGGAAATCAGTGCTGCTTTGCAGCAGCTGCTTGAGCTCAGGGAAAGGGCTGGTCCAGCCGTGCTCTCGGTTTTAACTTGCGGCCGTTGGCTCTGCAGGGCTGGCTCGGAGGTGCTACCCAGGTACTTGAAGCCATGGCGCAAGCGTGGTCCGCAGCCGCTCGGTGCTCGCAGAGGCACCGCATCGCTTGGGGGCACGCTGCGTTTTCATGGTCTGCACCACTGACTTTGACCAAATAAAGTGGGATTTCTAAGAGCAGTTTCTTGCGGAAAGGCCGCGCTACGAGCGAGCACGAGGAGAGCAGCTCTTGGGCCTCACAGGAATTAAAGGGTGCTGGAACTCTGCAGGAGTCAAGGTACAAAAACATGAAAACACGCCTCTGGGAGGAGGGAGGCTCCCTGCCCCGGGGTTGACGCCTTCCCCGCAGCAGCGTCTGGCGCTCTGGGGCAGTTTTGGCTATGAGCTGTGGGGTCAGCGTGAGCCCGGGCTGCGGGCCGTGTCCGTGCTGAGAAGTGCATTTGAAAGAGTCAGACTGTTCCTGTTCTCCGACGCGGCTGGGCTGCGGTGGGTGAACTGCTGCCGTGACACAGCAGCCGGGGATGGGAGGCGGGACAAGCCGAACCCTTGGCAGACCTAGGGATGGAGGGGCTTTCCCTTTATTCGCTGGATTTTTAACTGATTGGGGTTGTGCCTGAGATTCAGAGAACTGAGACAACCGGTTAGATTGGATCTTAGGAAGAATTTCTTCATGGAAAGAG